GGGAAAACGGAGCTGAAGAGGGAGATGCGGAAATGAAGCAGAGAGGGGGACCCACTGTGGGCAGTGTGTGAAAGTTGGAAGCAGGGCATGGGGGACAATCTCATGGAGAAGGTAGTACTGGAGTGAAAAATTGAGGGAGGTGAAGAAGAGCCAGGTGGTGATGTGGTGAGCACTCCCTTCCATCAGAATGTAACATGCGTGCAAAGGAAGGAGGTTAAGTCAGCGAGCTGAAGCAGGCCTCCAACCACCAGTTCTGGATGGCCTGGCTGGCGGGCAGCATCACTACCATTAACTTTTCTCTGTGCGATGAGAAGTTTCATCATTTTACACAGTTAATTGTTTTTTTCTTTTTGAACAGGTCTTACTATGCAGCCCAACATAGCCTGGAACTTTCTATGTAGGCTGGACTAGCCTCAAACTTGTAGCAGCTCTCAAGCCTCCAGAGTGCTAGAATTGCTTATCATTATGCCTGGGTTAGTTTAAGATTCTTAGTGTTAATATGAGTTCCATTTTTTGAAAGATTGTTATTTATTTTTTTAGACAGGTCTCATGTATCCAAGTGGGTCTTGATCTCACTATGTAGCTGAGAACAACCTTGAATTTTGATATTATTATTTATTATTATTTTTCCTTTTCTCTTCTTCTTCTTCTTCTTCTTCTTCTTCTTCTTCTTCTTCTTCCTCTTCTTCTTCTGATTTTTCTAGACAGGGTTTCTCAGTAACAATGGAGCCAGTCCTGGTACTCACTCTGGAGAACAGGCTGGCTTTGAACTCACAACAGAGATCCACCTGCCTCTGCCTCCCGAGTGCTGGGATTAAAGGCGTGTGCCACCACCGCGCTGCTATTTTGGTTTTTCAAGACAGAGTTTCTCTGTGTATCCCTGGCTGTCCTGGAACTCACTCTGTAGACCAGGCTGGCCTTGAACTCAGAGATCTGCCTGCCTCTGCTGGTATTAATGGCATGCTCCACTACCGCCTCAACCTTAAAAATTTTATCCTCTTTGCTTTAACCTGCCAAGTGCAGTTATTACAGGTCTGTATCGCCCTGCCACGTTAGACATTCTACATTGTTGACAAAATTTTCTTTACTGCTGTTGCTTTGTCTAGCAATGTATTACTCCCTGACTTAATTTACTCAAGTAAATATTGTACAAAACACTAGCTCTGGGGCTGGAAAGAATGCTCAACAATTAAGAACACTGTGCTCTTTCAGAGGACCCGAGTTTGGATCCCAGCACCTGTATCAGATGGCTCACTCTTGTCTGGAACTCCAGTCCTACAAAATGGAACATCATCTTCTGGCTTCCATGGGCACCCTCACACACGCCCACACCCACACACATGCATACATACACATAAAATATAAATACAGTTAGTTTTAAAACCAGATATGGAGGCTAGAAAGATTGCTCAGCTGTTTAAGAGCACTCTTTAAACCGGTCTTCTGGAGGACCTGGGTTCAATTCCCAGGATTCACATGGAGGCTCACAATTTCCTGTAACTCTGATTCCGGGGGACCTGACACCCTCATACAGACATAGATGAAGGCATGACACCAATTTACATAAAATAAAAATTAATAAATCGTTAGAAAGATAAAACTAGCTATGTTTCTTTTCTGTAGCTCCTCCCCAGATGTGGCCGCCCTCTCCATGTGGTCCCCTCCTTCCCTTACAGTGTGCAAAATGGGACATTTAGCCAGAGCCATTCTTGGCTCACTCCCCTGACCCAAACAGCTGGACTCAGCTTGCTTGACAGGGCAGATCAGCTTTCTATTTGGTGCGGGCAAAGGGAGGTGGCAGCTCTGTGTGGCTACAGGGGACACTCTGTCCATCTGCCCCATGTGGAGTCAACAAGCCAGTAAGAGTCCAGTCAAAATTCCAGGGCTCAACCTGTCCCCAGTCAGTGGCCTGAGCTGGCCAAGAAGTAGTTCCAGTTCCTGGTGAAGTGTCAGGAACCTTGGCAGCGAGGAATGCCCTGTGCCCTCTGCTCTTGAAAACTTCACCCAGTATTCAGTTAATCAGCCTGGCCCTGAGTGCCCCTCAGGTGCGGTTCCAGGAAAGATGCCATCCTGGGCCAACTGAATTCTCTTTCCTAATATCAGGAGGCCACACAATTGCAGACCCAGGCCATCAGAATGATGTGGTGGTATGGGGGACCCTGTGGTGGTGGGCAGAGACCCTCCCAGCAATGGAGCATGCCTCATGAGTTTCCTCCTAGGCCCCTTTGCCCACTCTCTTGCTGCCTTTCCCCTTCTTTCCTCCACTGTCTAGAAGCCTGCGGTCCTCCAGTCAGTAAGTAAAAAGTGTGGGTGGCCATGTCATGTGTTAGAAGGGCTCAGTGTTTATGGAGAGGCGGCGTGATGTCATCAGCAAATTCCCAGTCCTGGGAGCCGCCATCCGTTCACATCCTGGCCTGTTCACAGAGCTGCAGGTCCCCTTTCAGTTGTTTGGCTTTCCTGTCTCGGTTTTTTTCCTCATGAAAAAAGTGATCGAAACCTGGGAGAGGGCTCTGTGAGTTTTAAGTCTCGAGAATAATCCAGTAGCTCCAGAAAGCATGAATGAAAAAGGAGGATGTGCTGAGAGATGGGACGGAATGAAGACGCCACCACTTCCGTCCCTACTGCCATCCATTTACTAAAGGAGAGAAGGTTGGGCCAAAGCAGAATTCTGCCAGGTTGGAGAACTCGGGGGACCCTAAAAGAAGAGTGGGGAAAAGCCATAGCAAGGCACAACTGACACAGGCAGGGGTCCCGAAGGCACTGCCTATCTCTTTCCTGAAGTGGCATTGTGGGGGGTGGGAGATGAGGGAGAGGAAGAAAGACCCGGAGGGACAAAAAGACAGACACTGTGTATGTGCACAGGGCTATGGGTGGGAGACTGACAGCTGCTTCCCCCACATCTGGTTTGGTTCTGCAGTGGCAGGTACCCCCTGGCTCAAAACTGGACCCTCCCTGTGTAGGTTACTTTTTTCATTGAAGACAGAAACATGAGGTGGGAATACAAAGGGTCTTCTTTCTGTCCTTATTATGCATCACTAGTCCCAGACATTGACTTTTATCATGTCCATGGATAGGTATTTGAGAAACTTTGACCTGGAGGAATTGACCAAGAGGGCCAGGTGAGGTCCTAGGAGAGCCATGGAGAAAGATGGCTGGCAGTTTCTCAATGAAAAGGCTCTGACCTTTTCCAAAAGGAAGACAGTAGGAAGAGAGAGGAATAACTCAGTTTGCCAGGTCTGTCCCTGGTCTTCCACAAACGGTCTCGAATTTATTCTTCACCACAGTCCTCCTAGCTCAGGATTTAGTTATCTCATTGGACAGATGAAAACATGAAAGGGCCGGGCGGTGGTGGCGCACGCCTTTAATCCCAGCACTCGGGAGGCAGAGGCAGGCGGATCTCTGTGAGTTCGAGACCAGCCTGGTCTACAAGAGCTAGTTCCAGGACAGGCTCCAAAACCACAGAGAAACCCTGTCTCGAAAAAAAAAAAAAAAACATGAAAGGCTAGAGCCGTTGTCCAGGTAGGAAAGATTGCAATCAAGGAAGAGAGTTCTGAAGCCAACGGAGAGAAGCCTGTCTCCCCTCAGCTTGGAGTCCTCCAAATGAGTGCTGGTCACCTCCAGGTGCTTGGAGAGAACTGTGGGACACCCCCAATCCACAGCATGGGTCTCTACTTCCCACTATGGTAGAGTCGTGAGCGGTCCGTCACGATTTATCTCTCTCCACTTCATACTGGCTATTTTCTAAAGTCTCCCTTAGATCGAAGCAGGTAACCGTCGGGGGACAGATTGTCCAAACTGTGCCCAGCCTCCTGTGAGCCCAGCAGAGAGACATCAGCTAATGGCGAAGGAACCCAACACTAGCTTTTGGCAGAGGCTGGGGACCAGGACTCCTGCGGTTTGAGAAGCATCCAGCGGATATTTGACGCCCACCATGTCATGGTGTCACTGCGCTGTCGCCAAGCAGGCCCAACCCCTGGCTAGCAGTGACCACGCTCCTCTAGGAGACGCTCCTCGGCCCTCCCCCACTTCTCCTCTTCTGCCCCCACCTCCTATGTCACGGGTGCGGGGTCGGGAACCGGGGTGGTAGGGGTTGTGTTTTAAAAAGGGGCCACAGCAGGCGAGAAGCCCGGCCGTTGAGTAAGCAGCCCCTTCCCGGGGCCGCGCTGGCGGTGGGTGTTGGAGCCCCGCTGCGGCCCCGCCCCCCGGGGCACTGTCCGGGCGGGTGCGCGGCGCAGAGGGGAGGGCCAGCGGGACAGGAATGCGCAGCGGGCGGGCGGGCGGCGCAGGAGGCGTGCGGCGGCGGAACATGTAAGGGCACATCCCGCCAGCAGCCGCCCAGCGCACACACAGAGTCCAGGGGAGCGGGCGCGCGGGCAGAGAGGCGCAGGGTACCGGGCAGAGGCTCGGGGAGGTCGGAGGGCGAACGAGCGAGCAGCATCCTCTCGCGCCTCCCGGGCGCCGCTGTCTGCCAGGCGTTCCCGGCTACGGGCTCGGCTGGACAGGGAGCAGGGCCAGCCAGCCCAGGGCGCGAGGAGCCGGCGCTGAAGAGCCGGGACTGCCGCAGCCTCCAGCGCTGTGGGAACCTCGGGGACGCCCATGACGGCGGCGGCGACCGTGCTGAAGGAGGGCGTGCTGGAGAAGCGCAGCGGCGGGCTGCTGCAGCTGTGGAAGCGGAAGCGCTGCGTGCTCACCGAGCGCGGGCTGCAGCTCTTCGAGGCCAAGGGCACGGGCGGCCGGCCCAAGGAGCTCAGCTTCGCCCGCATCAAAGCCGTGGAGTGCGTGGAGAGCACCGGGCGCCACATCTACTTCACTCTAGTGACCGAGGGCGGGGGTGAGATCGACTTCCGCTGCCCCCTCGAAGACCCCGGCTGGAACGCTCAAATCACCCTGGGCCTGGTCAAGTTCAAGAATCAACAGGCCATCCAGACTGTGCGGGCCCGGCAGAGCCTTGGGACCGGGACCCTTGTGTCCTAAACCACGAGGCATACCATTTTATCGACATGCCCCCCACCTCCATGCCCAGAGGACATGTCAGGTAAGTCCCAGAGCACTGATCCCTCTCTCTCTTCCTCCTCCTCCTCTGTTCTCTATAGAAAACCAGGGGCTTTGTTTCCCACACCAAAGCTGGACAGCCCTAGGGAAGGTTGCTGGAGCCAAGACGGTAGGATCCCAAGACAGTGTGTTTGGGAAGCCCGGGCGCCTGGTCAAGTGAGCAGATCTGTCTTTTTCCTAGGGTGCCAGGCAGGAGGGTCCTTAATGTGACCTAAGTGTCTGAGAGGAAGACAGGGGACCTGGGAGAAAAGCCCAGTTTAGAGACTGAACACTGACTTACGTGGTGGGCCTGTGGGCTTCCACTTTCACCCAACATAGGGCTCCTGCATTGTATGGCTCTCTTCCAGAATGAGTGCATGGCAGAGAATTTAAGCGTTGAATTGAGGTGAACACTCACCATCTTGTAGTTATCGAAGGAGTTATAAGGGCTTGGGCACAGAACCATGGCGTCCCAGCTCCCCACGTGGGAACTCAGTGGAGGGCTGGGCCGAGCCAACCACTCAACAGCTCATTTCATCCTTGGTTGTTTATTTGGGGCCCTAGAACTGAGCTATTGGAAAGGGGTGGGCTGTGGCGCAGCCATCAGTTTCAGGATGGTGGGCCTGTCTATCTGCCTAGCCATGTGTGCTGGCCAAGGCCTACTGGGCGGAGAGATGTAGCTAGAAGAGATGGGTGACCAAAAGCTGGATGGGGCCATTCGTGATGTCCCAATCCCCCTTGAGCAGTAAGACAGAAGGTTGAGAGGTCGGTTTGTGGTTAGAATGGCTCAAGGGAGGGACCAGGAATAGAACTAGAAGCCATGGCACGTAGCCTTCCTGCCCTCTTCCCCAGATACCACTCCTTCCCCATGGGAACCTGAGCTGGGCCAAGAAGGGGCTTATATAACTCTGGCTTTAACTTCTCCAGTGGGAGCTTTTGTGCACCTCGCACAGTACCTCGTCCACGTCCCTTTCCTTCTTCTCTGTCAGTTCTGGGGAGGCTGGGGGTCATGTTTACTGCCTCCTCCCCCACACATTGTCGTGAGGCTGTACATTAAGCAAATCTACTGGGCTAAGATGGCTCCACATTGATCCCTTAGGACTCAGCGTGGGGCTGGAGGAAGCAGTTTCCCCACCGGGCACTACTGCAATGAGCTATGCCAACTCTCTCTCTGTACCTGCCTGCTCCTCCTCTGTGAAGTCAGCCAATGTCTGGTCAAAAATAGCTTGAAAAAAAATGTTATTTGAACATTTACAGACCTTTTTTCTTGTTACTATTTCCCAAACGATATAGTATAATAACTATTTCTATAACATTACATAACATTACATTGTGTTAAGTATTAAAAGTAATACAGAGACGACTTCAAGCATATGGGAGGTGTGCATATGTTATATACAAAAACTACACCCAGTTATAGAAAGAAGTTTCCAGATTTTAGCTGGTGTCCGTGGCATGTCCTGGAACCTATTTTCCTGTGGGTAACAAGAGTGGCGACATTATTTTCATTTGTTCTGGTGTAGAGAGGGCTGGGAAGGGCTGGTGTGAGGCGCCCAGTTTCTACCCAGTCAGCTGTTGCGACTGTCCTAACCACTGCTCTTTCTCTCCAGCTTCTCTGTCCACTCCGGCTGGTTGGAGCCTGACTACATGTGATGCGGAGAAACCATCAGTATGTGGAGGAAGCCTATCATCTTGGAAGGATCCAACTGACCAGGGGCGGAGAGCGGAAGCCAATGAGGACTGAGGATGAAGATTCAGTTCCTGGACACTGAGACTGTTCTACCTTTGAGCCACAGGCCTGGCCTCATGTATCACGATGGAGCCTTTGGGGCTCCTCCCACTCACTGATCCTGCCCTTGCTTCTGCGTTCTGCAGACTGCTGTTTGGCCCCTGACCTTGATACATGCCCAAAGGAGGGCAGTTCCTCGTGGGGTGCTCAGTGAAGGCCTCCGAACTCGGGAGGCCAGCCTGGGATCCAGAAGATGGCCACCCTACCTTAGAACAGTTGCTGGACTTGCAGATGGGGGTCTGCTGGGCACGAGGCCTGTGCCTGGGGGTCTCTTGCTGCTTAGGTCCTTTTGGGACCCCCCACCCATCCATACCCTCTCTTTGCACACTTCTTCCCTCACCTCTGTTGCCCTCTCCTCACTTTGGTGTTGGGCCTGGAGGTGGTGGGGGGTGGGGTAAGGGTTTGGCCATCACCATTTCATGCCTATTCCAGAATGAAGATGCCCAGAACTTGGGTAGTAACTACACTGTCTGCTGAGTGATATTCTTTTAACTACAGACATCTAGAGCTTGGAACATCTCTTTACTTTTCCCCCAACCTCGGGCTCTTGAAATACATAGCTTGAGGGGGTGCAGGCACTGTACCCCCAGTAGACATGGCCTCATTGGCCTTAGAAAGGAAGAGCCTCAGTGTGACTGAAGAATGTCACAGTCCTACAGATGCTGCTTCTGTAGAAGGTGACTTTCCCCTGCTAACCCAGGAAGTGGCTCTGATTGCTGGGTTGGCTTCTCTCCCTGTTATTTACACATGTAGATGCACACATTTATAGGGGAAATCTTCCTTAATGGCCAGCAGTAGGGAACCATTCCTACGTGGGAAGATGCAGAGGAATTGTGGCCTTGAGTGAGACAGCGCCTGTTGCTGATCCTTCCCAGTATAACCAGCAAGTCTCCCCCGACCTGATGCAGAGCAATGGCTGCTTCAGAGTCTTTGGAAGGAGCAGTGGGGCCGAGGGAACCCTCAATAATTTAAAATCTCTTTAATAGCCTCTTTGCTCTTCTCGTGTTTCACTCCTTCTTTTGTTTTCTAATCAAAATTTCCCCGTCTCCCATCCATGTCCCTCAGTCCTTAGAAGTACCTCCTCTGTGGGATGTGAGCTATAGCTCACTGTTGAGTATGAGTGTATGGTTTACAAAGGAACATTTAACAACTGCCCTATTCATTATCTCCTTCCTCTGTACCACTCTGCAGATAGCATAATCCCACCAGGTCAAAAAGCATCGTTTCCATGCCAGCCTAGATCCCTGCTATAAAGGCCATGTCTAAGCCAGGGTGCTGTGATCAACTGATGATGTCTTCTGTGGGTGAGGGAGTCAGCCAGGAAAGGAGAGAAAACTGCCGCTCCTGTCTCGATGCAGCTGTTAGTGGGAAAGGGTTAACTTCCTGTCCTCATGAAACATCATATTTCCAGACTACTCCAGTCAAGCCCAGGAATTGCTGGAGGTGGACATTCAGGCTGAAAGAAATGAGGCAGCAGGCACTCAGAAATGGAGGAAGGAAGGTTTGTGAGCGGATGGGTTTGGGATCAAGGTGTGATCACTCACCAAACAATGCCTGCTGGACCAGGTACTTTGCTCTCCAGGGGACTTGGAGGGACCAAAAAGATGACCCAGTCTCTTGCCCTAGAAGGCCAGAGTTTAGTGGGAGACAAACCATAGCAACTGGTGGCAGTAGAGCTGACCGTAGGAAGCTTCGAAGCACCAGGCAGTATTTCCTCGCTGCTCAGTGTGGACCTCAGCGGAGCTGAGAGGGCTCATTGTGCCGCAGAGGGCAGCAGGGGCACATGGGCAGTGCCGAGAGTCAAGGGCAGAGGGCAGGTGCTTGGGGGGTGGAGGCAGGCTCTGGTTTCTGGAGCTTCACCTCCCTGCTTTAGACACTCAAGCTTGGCTCCAAGTGTGCCTTGGTTCTTGCCCAAAGCCATCTTTGCTTGGTGTGTTCTTTTGCTAAGTGAATCTCAAACCCTCTAAGGAACACCCTTGGAGACCCTCTTGTCGACCTGGCACTTAGCAGGCTCCTGGCACATGTGTGTGGGTAGAGCCTGTTACAACAGAATGGATATTTACCAATATTATGGGAGCCCTGGGTTCTCAAGAGCCCTCACTGTAGAGAGGGCTGGCGCTCTCAGAACAGGGGCGATTCAAAAGATTAACTATTTCAAAGGATAGTGACGTTTTCGAGGAGTTTTGGTCCATTTGGTAGGGAGGGGGTTGCTCTGCCTTTTGAGTTCAAGGGTGCCCTTTCTGCTCTGAATTTCCAGGGAAGAGCAAAGGCCCTCACCCCTTGGAATGCTTGCTGGACTGTTGTAGGGGAAATGCCCCTTTGGTGACAGAGGCAGGCCTTCACAGCACCAGCAGACTCTCAGGAAAGAGAAATCTGCTCCGCTGGACCTGAGGACACTGTGAGGCCAGGGAGGGGCTCTTGCCACAAACTCTCCCCCTGCTCTGGCAGCTGGGGCCTCACCCCGCCTGATCCATGAGTCATCAATGGGAAAATGAGACAGGGCAAGTCTCAGCCCAACAACTGGAGTCCGGTGGGGTGGGGAGGCTGAGGGGAGAAGGGATGGGCTCCTTCTGATCCGGGAGAGCTGGGTTGGGAGTTGAGGATTTGGCAAGAGTGAGTCTGCTCCAGGGGAAGAATGGAGAAGGTTGGGGAGAGCCAGGGAGAGCCCAGAGCCGGAACTGCAGAAGAAAAGAGAGAGGGTGGGTCTGCAGGCCATGAGAGGCTGTCAGCTGGAAATCTAGAGCCAATGATAAGGCGCCATGGGCAGCTGGCCCTCCAGGGCCAGGATCCAAGGACCCTAGCAAGAATGCTGTGTGACTCTGAATAGACGCTTTGCGTCTCTGGTTTCTTAACATAAGACAAGGACCGCCCTCATTGAGCACTATAATGTCAGAAGACTTAGCCCTACAGACAGCTGCCGCTCTTGGACCGAGACAGAGCTCTGACATGTGCCCCCCACAGCCCACCAAAGTGATCTATAGAAAATGCAATTGATTCTTCCACCAGTACCACCAGCTGCTTGTCCCCTGCGATGGGAGAGGCCCCCTTCCTGATAGCACCCTCTCTTTACACTCTTTTGTTTGCACAGCCAGGTTCCTGCAGGTAACTGTCCCCATTCCAGTACCAGTGAAGGTCACCTCACACTATAAGCCACTTCTTCCAGCTCCTCCCACACACTTTGGTATCGCGGCTCTGAGTTTTCATGCTCTGAGATG